AATTGAGGATTGTGTGCTGCTGGGTTTTTATTTATCTTTAGTGAATAAGAGAACAAATCAGGATGAGTTCATATGACGGGTAAAACAAAAATTGTAAACTTATTTCAACACAGAATGGATTAAAAATAAACACAGTTGAAATAAGAGTAAATCTCAGTGAATCTGATCATTTGTTTGTGCACATTTTTACTCTTTAGCACCATCTAGTGGTCGTGGTCAAACAGTGAGATTTAACAGTGAGAAGGGCTCCCTCTATATAATCTGAATATATTTGATCACACAACGTTTCAGTCTAACAGACCTTCATCAGGTGTGTCAAGAAAACATTTCCATGTATATAAAGAGACGGTTCTCACCCAATAAAGAAAAGATAAACTTTATTGATCCCCCATGGGGGACATTTTTTTTGTCACAACAGCTCAAGAAACAGGAATATAATTATTGAAAATAACAAGAAGTTAAAAATCAAACATTTACATCAGTTAAATAAAGGGAGAAAAAATACAATGATAGAATAATACAAGGTATGTACACTTCCACTTGTGGAAAGAGTTATTAATGAGAGAGCCGCTGAGGACAGACAGATTTATTTCATTCAAAACGTTAACTGAGTATGACGTTTGTTTTAAGAAAATCGTACAAGAATAAGAGATTCCAGAGAGTCGGATGAGTTGTCAGGCTTCTTAAAACCAGTGTGTGTATTTCAGGTTCTAACTGGTATTTTTGGAGTCGGGTCAAAAACGGCGGACCGATGGATCAGAGATGGGATACACGACCTCCGACAGTTAGGAGATTCAGCGCACACACTCAATCGAGCGCAGCAAGCAGGTGTGTGTCTCTGCCCTCATGTTTGAATCATCGTCCTGCACACGATGAAGTCTGTCTCTGACTTTATACCGCTCCTCATCTCTCAGGTCTGGAGCACTACGACGACCTGAACCAGCCGGTCACTAAAGCAGAAGCCGACGCCATCGGAGAGATCGTGGAGGCAGCTGTTGTGTCTGTGTTACCTGGAGCTCGGATGACTCTGATTGGAGGATTCAGGAGGTAAGAGAGCAAACAAGACAAGCAGTATATCTAAACCCCTTTTAGGAAACATAAAAGTTAGACTACTCTTTTTTCTTTTCTTTTTTTTTGGTTTAAAGGGGAAGTATTAAGTCTGATATTTTTAACCTGGGCAGAATTTGTACATATCGAATGTCTACACGGTGTGAAAGTCTTGGATGTGCTTCAGTAGATTGATTCATCCTGCAGCAGTGAAACAGGCTGCAGAATAATCCTTTGGTGCAAACGCATCTGATCAAAGTGCGTCCAATCAAATTTGTTGTTTTATTTATAATTTATATTTATAACAATATTTGTTTTATTAATAATAATAACTCTTTCCACAAGTGGAAGTGTACTGGTATTATTCTATTTTTTTTCTTCCTTTATTTAACTGATGTACATGTTTGATTTTTAACTTCTTGTTATTTTTAATAATTATATTCCTGTTTCCTGTTTTTTCTTGAGCTGTTGTAACGAAAAAAATTCCCCCATGGCTGATCAATAAAGTTGATCTTTATCTTTATATTCATCTTTTGTTTTTAAATCTGCTGGAGAAATTTACCTTTTAGTAATTTAAACCCTTAAATACATTTTTTCAAAACAGGCCCCAGATTTAAAAATATAGTAATTCCGTATTCTCCGTTGCAAAACAATATAATAAAAAGATCACTGCTGGCACTTTGTCCAGGGGAAAGCAGACTGGCCACGATGTAGACTTCCTGATCACTCACCCAGAGGAGGGCAGAGAGGTGGGACTGATGCCTAAAGTGGTCTCCCGTTTGGAAGCACAGGTAAAAACACTTCTTTTTTTTTTTTACCTTAGATTTGTTGCATGCTCAGAAGTTATAAAGGACGTTTTCTGGTTCTTCAGGGATTCCTGTTGTACCAGAAAACCACCAGGAACTCCTACCTGGAGTCTAAGGACGGTCCCGGTCGGCCTTCGTCCAACATGGACCGCTTCGAGAGGTGTTTCTCGATCTTTAAACTCACCGAGGAGGAGAGAGGAGGAATGAAACGGGCGGATACAGAGAGGGAAAGTGATGCACATTCACACACTTCACATCAGATCCACACCAGAGGACGCGGCCTCGAGGCAGCTGATGAAGATGAAGGTGTAGCGGAGGAGCGCTCAAAACCTGCAGGACGCAAGCGGTGGCGAGCTGTGAGAGTGGACCTGGTCGTCTCGCCGATCAGTCAGTTTGCGTTCGCTCTGCTGGGCTGGACCGGATCCAAAGTGAGCTTTCAGAATCTACCTCGTTGTTTTTAACTTTTTCCACTTGAGATAAAAAAAAAAATGTAAAAAAAGAGCTGACTCTCATTTTCTCCTCAGTTGTTTGAGAGAGAGCTGCGACGGTGGGCGGGGCACGAGAAGTCCATGTCCCTGAGCAGCCACGCTCTTTATGACAGCAAACAGGTACACACACACACACACACACACACACACACACACACACACACACACACACACACACACACACACACACATTTTCTATAATCTATTGTACAATTTTCCTTCAGGCAGAGTTCGTTAAATGTCTTTTTTTCTTCTTCTTACAGAGTCGGTATCTGAGAGCGACGTCTGAGGAGGAGATCTTCTCTCATCTTGGTCTGGAGTTCATTCCTCCATCTGAGAGAAACGCCTGAGTCTACCTGAGGAGGGACGAGAACACCTGGAACCACCGGGAGGTAAAAGGGAGGCTAACGTAGCTCACCTGGCTGAGAGGCAGACCTGCTTTTAAACACTTCAAGGGTGACGGCACTGATGACGGTGGTCCAAAGGGGCATCACGGCTTTTTAACCACATGTTTGAACCTTTGAAACAGAGACTTTTGGAAACGCCGTTTTAACCGTCTTTTAATGTGACAGTGCCCCGAGGTTCTACTTTAAATCTTCAGTCAGAAACAAAAAGAAAACAATGCTCGCTAAAAAATGTTTTAATTGCGTTTTTAAAAAAAGCTCTTCATTCTAAAAGTGCCTTTTTTAATCAAGACCGCACGTCTCTTTTATTTTTAAAATGTATTTATGGCTGTATCTGACTAAAATGACTCAAATAACCTCAAAGTCAGTAAAGTAGCCGTCATGTTCTCTGTGTTGTTCTCTGATGTGCAGACTCTTGTAAACTGAACACGATTAATAATAACATAAAATCAATCATGCTTAAGATAGATAGATAGATAGATAGATAGATAGATAGATAGATACTTTATTGATGCAGAGGGCAAAGCATCCAGTAGCAGGTTACAAAGACGTACATGACATGAAACATTTGTTACAAATTAACCACAAATTAACCACAAATTAACCACAAATTAACCCCGTCCCATACGTATAGATTAACCCAAAAAAAAGATTTAAGAATTCCCCCTAGATGAATCAAACTTAAACCTGTGCACAAGAAAAAAATTCTCTTTGTGTGTATTTTTTTTTTTTTTTTCAATCGAGCTGCTGCTGGTAGACGTCGCAATGTTCAAGTTTTTAAATCAAAAGCCGCTAATTAATACTCTGCAGTCTTCACCAGGTTTCTCCTGGTAGAAATAAATCAACCTGAACTGATGTGAGAAAAGTTGAATAAAAAGAATCAAACTTTATTTCACGAGAATGAGTAGGTTGGTTTGTTTTCCAGCTGGTCTGACTCTGACTGTTTGTTTGCTCCTCTAAAGTTTATTCTGCACGTGTTATTCAAGGTTCATAAAGAGAAACAGTCAGTATGTTTACATGCAGTTAGAAACAGTTGATTTATTGTGTTTAATTTGGACTAAAAGTGGATTTTAAAATACATGAAACATGTTCGTCCAGGTGATATCATACTCAAAGACGTACTACTAACACACCTGGATGTTGTGGTTTGGAGTCAGTTTACTCCTACATGTTTACACCTCTGTGGGGCAAAAAATCAGCCCAGATGTTCTGAGCTCAACAGTTCCCACACCGGGCTTTGACCCAGTAGATAAGGTCAAGGTCAATTAGTTTGTGGAAATTGCTGCATAGACACTTATACATGAGACAATATAAAAACAGTTATTACAGATGTGCAAAACATTAGCTTATCCCTGCTACAAATTACCCAAGCATTGCTTAAGTATCCATACACAAACATACACCACACACACACACACACACACACACACACACACACACAGACTCCTACAATCACAGACGCACGCACACTGTGCACATGTAGTCTCACGGCATAATGAGCAGCAAAGCAGAAGGTCGATGTCGTCAGTCTTCATCAAGGCAAATTCCTTCCTGGTTTATGAAAACATATTCAGCATAAATGTGATTCTGACCGTCTCATCATGATCTACATGGAAGGAGGATTTACTAACTATTGCTGCTACCTCTGTAACGTGTGTGCCTATAGGAGGATGTTTAGTTTGGGACGTCCTGCCCTCTGTCTGCACCTGTTTGTTTGGTTTGCTGGCTCGGAGTCAGGACGGCCCGGGTACACCTGAATCCATCAGGACTCTGATTGTTTTGGTGGCATCTGCTGATCTGTTGTTTTTCTCTGCTGATATTTGAAATAAAACGGTGCATGAGTGAAGTCGCCGCTGAAATAAAGCTTGTGTTCATTCAAAACCTGTGAGAAGGTCACAAATATGAACCTCATGGTGGCGCTGCAGTACAAGTCTGAAAACTCGCTGTGTTTTCAGGAGATCAGGTTCAAAGAGAAACACGGTAAGAGCCATGAAAGTTTGATCCAATCACAGAAGAGAGCTGAACATCGTAAAAAAAATAAAGACCTTCATCGAGAGAGAGAGAGAGAGAGAGAGCGCTGTGTGCCCGAGGAAATCAGAATCACAGAATCAGAATAATAACTGAAATCATAAATGTAAATATTATTTAAAAAAAGTAAATAACAACAGTAACAGTGACACACTAGTAAGCCCCGCCCCCTCCTACACACACACACACACACACACCACACAACACACACACACACACACACACACACACACACACACACACACACACACACACACACACACACACCTGTGCACCAGTGACCTGTTTTCTACAGCCTCTTATCTCAACGTTCACTTTCAAGAGAACCACAGCAGAGATCAAATCAAGAGTTCATTTCCTCTTCTTTCCTGGCTAGAAAAGCTTTAGGATAAAAGTCCCGACACACCAAGGAGACCGTCGGCCGTCGGTCCTAGTTGGACCGAGTTTTAAATTTGATGCGAGCAGTAACTTGGAGCCGGTGGAGGGAGATGATCAGCTGTTTTAGGGAGGTTGAAGACCAGTCATGCTGATGTGTTTTGGATCATCTGCAGGGGTTTGATCGTGCATGTAGGCAGACCTGCTATAGTAGGGAGTTGTAATAGTCAATGCTTGATATCACAGTGATATGATGTGGTGTAGATATTTAGTCTTACCTTTAGATTTTCTGTTCCAGTGATCATATTAAATAAGAGCTGATTTTGCAGGAGAAACAATAAACACATTTTTCACTACAAACCTAAAAGACAAAAAAACACACACAGGAGAAAAATTTGCAAATGATTCCCTTAAACATCTCTCAACTAGTGGTTTTGTCCCGCGCCCCACGTACGGAGGCTATAGTCCTCGTCGTCCCCAGCGGCTGTGAGTCCGAGTCCGACCTCGGCCCTTTGCTGCACGTCATCCACCTCACTCTCTCCTCCTGACGTTTCCTCTCATTCTTCAACTGTCCAACCACTGTGGACACTCACTGATGGAGAGATGGTCAGAGTGAGGGGGGGGGGGGGTTCTGCAGTGAGTGCACTGGGACCTCTCAAACTACCAGACCAACTTCCTGACTTGTTCCACACCAGGACTTGAACCGGCGACCCTCCGGTACCCAACAGACTGATCTTCTACTAGCACAACCTAAAGTAGCTCAGACTGTCTCCACCTGCAAATATGAAGGAATATAAATCATGTAGAGACAACGTTTGTGTCATGTTTAACTCTACAGACACTCTGGTGTTTCAGGATGTCTTTTCTGATCATTCTTTTGTTCCTAAGTGGAGATTAAACCCAGAACTTCAACCTGTCATTACACTGTTTAATATTTTTTTTGTTTTAGAACCAGAGGCTCGCCGTTTCTTTTTTTTTCTTTTTTTTTAATGTTATAAAATCACCTGAGTTACTTCTTCCACTCTTGTATGACGACATTTGTGTGAGAAATTCTGTTTATTTGTCATTTTCGAGGGGGTCCAACACAAAAACCAAAAACACAACAGTACAGTGTGATACAGACAGTCAAGCACAAAATACACACACAAAACATAAACACCCATCTGCCCACAGCACCCACACAAAATCATCAGAGGTAGATAATCAAGATATTAAAGCGGTAAGAAGACATTACCATTAGACGCAGCAACATGGTTTTGTAAGAAAGGTAGCAGTGATTTCTTTAATTATTGTTCTGATGTTTATAGGTGGATTGTTCCAGTCAGAGGGAGCTTTGTAGTTGAATGCTCGTCTACCGATTTCCTTATTGGTTTTGGGAAGAAGAAAAAAAAGGCTGCTGACAATGTCCACTTCTTTGCTCTTCTGGGTTTTCAGAGCTCCATGTTCACAGCAGAGGACGCTCAGGTTCATTTCCCGTGTGTGAGTGTGAGTGTGAAGTCGGGGGGGGGGGCGTTTCCGTCACCTCTTCCTAACAGCCTCATTAACCTCTAAATACCAGTTTAACTTCAAAGGACGCGTCCCAGCTCACACCTTCGGCTCCTCTCACATCCATCCTCTCTGACATGTGCACACTTCACCTTTATTCCTGTAAATTAAACCTCCTATCGTTCACATTTAGGACACTTCAGGTGCACAAACTCTACACACAGCACTGCAAGCAGGACGACGAGTGTGAGAGGAAAGCAGAAAGGTTCATTAAAAAGAGTATTTATTTTATATTTCCTTTATCATCACCATTGACACGTGACTGTTTTTGACACCGAATGTGTGAAGCAAAAGTTTTTGTGAAGTTTCCGGGAGGGCCGAGGAGCCTGTGAGTCTGGACTTCAGAGACGAGAGGGGATGTGGTGTTTTTTATGTAAATGTGAATGTATTGAGCTGCCGGTTTAATCCCTCATATGAAGACCCACACTCTGCACAACTCTCGTTCCTCTGAAACCTGCACCGAGCTTTACAAACCAGTTCCTCCTCTTAGCATGAGAAAGAGGACACAACTGTTTTTCTGATTGATCTTTAGGAATCTGTTGCAAACACAATGTGAAGAAATGATTGGTTAAAAAAGCTTCCACCACATTAAAACTCCTCTCTTTAGGTAGCGGCCAGGGTTTTTTAAAAGTGCAGAAAAACACCATGATTGTGTCCTGATGAGTATTTTTTATACCAAATATAATTTCCCACACTGAACACGTTTCATGAATCCACACCACATGCTGGATTTTGCTCCTTGGAGTTTGTTGGATTACAGTTATTTTATGTTAAATCTTATGAGGACTTGTGTTATTATTTCCTAAAACATAATTCAAAATGTAAAATATTTGATTTGTATGTTTCCCATCCTGGAATATATAACTAAGTTTTACACCATAGGAACACTTCACTTTCAAACTGAGCAGATTTATACATTTTTTTTTTTTTAAATCAAGAAAACATCCAGAGACAACAATTTAAAAACATTCTGTACAAGGAGCAACCGTTACGAGGAGCGCTGGCTATCAGATGAAAATGAATTTCAATCGATCAGTGAGCATCAGGGCCGTCAGTATTTCCTAAAACATAATTCAAAATGTAAAATATTTGATTTGTGTGTTTCCCATCCAGGAATATATAATTAAGTGTTACACCTTAGGAACACTTTTTTGTTTTGAAAGAAATTCTTGGAACAAATTTTGTTCTGATATGTTCTGTTTTATTTGTAACCAAACTAGTAGTGTCTTAAATAATGATACGATTTGTAACAAGGGTAGGTGTAATAATCTTCAGCCGACACATGCAGGTCAAAATATTTTTGCTTTTTTCTTGTGACCGAAATAAATTATTACTACCTCACTTTCAAACTGAGCAGCTCTATACATTTTTTTAAATCAATAAAACATCCAGAGACAACAATTTAAAATAGTTTATAAGGACACAAAAAAAAAGCGTTAAAAAAAAGAGTACGAGTATTTTATAGAACATTCTGTGCAAGGAACGACCTTCACGAGGAGCGCTGGTTATCAGATGAAAAATGAGTTTTAATCCGTCAGTCGGTCGACATTATTAATCAAGATTCCTTCATTATCATTCTGACT